CTTTAATAATAATCAAATATACTCCATAGAACTTCTAGAAGAAGAAGACTCATTTGGATTAGTCTCCGCTGAGCCATGAAGAATAGAAGCTAGTTCTATTAATACTTAATTAATTAATTTCTATCTAAAAAAATGATATCCAAGAATATTTGGTGCTTAACCACATGTTAACGTACAACTAACAGCTCATCATAGGCAAATATGTTTCATAAAAGAATTGATAAAGATAAAGAGTGTAATAAGGAAGGAATATCATAAACAAAGAAAAATAATAAGAAGAATAGTTTTAAATAAAGAAGAAATATAGTAAAAACAATAAAAAAATAAGTCATAGTTGAGAAATGAATAAAGAGAAAAACAGAGATTGAGAAAGAAAAGGAAAAATTAGATCGTTTTTTGGATCATGTCTATAATACAATCAATCCATTATCAGCATTAAAAAAAAACAACAAGACAATATGATGAAAACTAAATAATCAACAGTATTAACAGAAAACAAACAGTTGGAAACAATGTACAAAAGTTGGTTTGAATCAATCAAAATACAGAATCAAGAGGTGGTATTTGATTATATTTTTATGAAATATATTTTATGATAGAATATAACAATCTATGACATTAATTATAATTCAGTGATCTTTTATGCTCAGTCCAATGCTAAAATAGTGTTATATAATAAGTTAGTTCAGAACAATTGAATGTCTCATTACTTTTCTAAATACAATTAGAAATTCTTTTTAATTATAGAAAATTCCACAGAAAATTTTACTTTTAATAATGAAATTTCAAAAAATTATTTAAACGTTTGAAATAAATTATTTCAATAATTAACCAAATCATAAAATTACAAGAATGAAGAAGATAAAATACTGTATATTTTTAAGAAAAAGTGAATTATTATAAATGAAAAATCAAGAAATAGGTCAATAAGAAGTTATATATTAATCTAGAAAATAATAGTAACAAGTAAATAAAATGATTGTATTATTGATTGCTTTCATTTCTTGTTGTCTTGGTTATTCTGATGTAAGATGTACAAGTGCTTATTGCAGTGGATGTAGCTATGATAATCCTGATGTTTGTATTTATTGTATTGACCAATATATCTTAGAAAACAATGGGACATGTTCATGTTTGTTTTTTTCTCTCAGTTATTTTAACATAGAAATATATTACTTACAATTAAAGCTCCTAAAGGAAAGAATTGTTATAATACTATGGCTGGTTATTGTGAAATTTGTAACGAGGGGTATCAATGGGATAATACAACAAAGAGTTGTGTTGGTTTGTTTTATAGTAATATTGCCACTTTAAATGAAGAAATTAGATTAACCAATAAATAGAAGGAAATGATAATTGTACTCGTTATTCTACTGATGATGGCTCTTGCAGTACTTGTAATGATGGGTTCTTGTTAGAAAACGGTAAATGCACTAAGTGTGAAACTAATCCTTATTGTATTCTTTTTGATGGTTCATGTAATAAATGTATGAAATGTAAACCATCTTATGGCGTTGTTAATGGAACATGTGCTCAACCAATTGAACATTGTATGGAATATAAAACTACAGAAACAGGTAATCCAACTTGCCTAACATGTTTTGGAGGATATTATTTAATTAATAATGGAAATAAATGTGTCAGTTTGTTATTAAAATTATTTATTTAAACCAGAATAAGTATTGATAACTTATAGATGCTACTATTGAGAATTGTGCTTTTTACAGTATTGAAAATAATGAACTGAAAGGATGTAAACAATGTTATATTGGATATGTTTTTGACACTGAAAAGAAAGTTTGTATTTCTGATGAAAATTATAAAATGGAAGGATGTAAAATTCAAAGTTCTATTGGGACTTGTGTTGAGTGTTTATTCAATTATCATTTAGAGGAAGGTCAATGCATTCAAAATCCAACTGGATGTAAAAGAGGAAATAATAACACCTGTCAAGAATGTTTAGAAGGGTATGAGTTGGGAGAAGATAACCAATGTTATTGTTTGTTATTTTATTATTTTCAAGTTATTTTATCAGATATTTGAAATAACTAATTATATTAGTAATTAATTACTATTGCAATGAACAAGCTACTTCTAAAGAAGTGTGCTCTAAAGATAATCACTGGTGTATATTTGAGACTGTTGCTACGAACACCTATTGTACATATAAATCTTTAAATTGTTCTTCTTGGAATGAAATCGGAGAATGTGTCCAATGTTCTTTTGGATTTGTTCTTGATTCAAATAACCCAATTGCATGCATAGAAAAGATAGAAGGGTGTGAAAGTTATTTAACAAAACAAATAAATAACGAAACTAAAGACCTTGTTTGTGTGTCCTGCAAATCTGGTTACTTTATGAAAGAAGACTTTACTTGTGGTAAATGTTCTAGTGAATGTACTTCTCAATGCTATGGTGAACCTGACTTATGTGACAAAGATAATAAGAAATGTAGTGATGCCTTTTGTAAGTCTTGTCCAAACAACAAAGATGAGTGTGAGGTTTGTATTGATGGAACTAAACCACAAGGAAATTGGTGTGGACCAGTTATTTGTGTTATTCCTGTTGGAGATGATATGTGTTATGAATGTGCTTATTTAAGTGAAGAGAAAGTTTTTGATGAAAACACTAAACAATATATTCCAAAGAATATAACTGGATTTGTTCCAAACGCCAAAGGTCATTGTATTAAATCACCAGATGATTCTAGTTATTCTGATGATTCTAGTTCATCTAATGATTCTTCAAATTCAAATAGTTCTAGTTATTCTGATGATTCTTCAAATTCAAATAGTTCTGCTTCATCTAATGATTCTTCAAATTCAAATAATTCTGATGATTCTAGCTCATCTAATGATTCTTCAAGTTCAAATAATTCTGGTTCATCTAATGACTCACAATGTTCAAGTAATTCAAATAGTTCTACTACTTCAAGTGCTGATTCTAATGATAGTAGTGACGAAAAAAATAATACCATCTATTATATTGTTGGTGGAGTCATTTGTGGTATTCTTCTTCTCTTGTTAATTATTATTGTTGTTGCTATTATTGTTTTCTTTGTTACAAGAAAGAAGAAAGGGTCTGAATATCATGATATTGCTTAAATGAATTTTACGTTAATTTTTCTTGTCCGAGGTTATTATTTTTCAACCATTTAGTGTAATAGCTCTTTTTTACACTACCAATCTTCATAAATATACTCCATACTAATGAAATGACTACTAAATGAGGAAGTAAAAAGTAAATATAAATTAATTAAATTTTGAACTGGTAGTATATTCCAGTAAAAGAATTACAAAAGAGGTTAAAAAACAAAACCATAAAAGTCAACTAGAATAATAATAAGATATGACTTTATTAAAACATAATTTTTGGTGATTCATTTATTCACCTTTTAATTTAATTGACATTATAAG